CATCAGCTCCCAGCCAGCAGAGCCCTGGTGAGTACACAAACACAGATTCCATGGAAACGAAATCGAATCAAACCGTCTGAATAACCAAAGATCCAGGTGGAAGGAATTAGAAACAGTAAATCCAACAGGAGAGGCGATCTGGGGCCCGGGGCAGAATGACGGACAGTGGGCTCAACTCCGCCACCCCCACCCCCGTTCGTGACACGCACTTGGCTCCGGATGCGGAGACGGGGTCCGATTTCATTATCTCTCTCAACACTGACTGACACGGAGCAAATCCCTTAAGCCCTCTCTGGGCCTCGTTCTTCGACTGTAAAATGAAAACAGCAATAATTCCTCTCTAAACGGTTGTTGGGAGGATTAAATGAGATGATGCAGGGAGAGAGGGCAGGCCAGTTTCTGGAGCACAGACATGAGCTAAGACAGCTCCCATGTGTGTTACATATTTAGGAGTTCAGATGGGCTGAAATGTAGGGCTGTCTTGACATTACCCCTTGACAGGTTTCTTAACGTCTCTAACCAGGGCTGTCACCTGCCAAGAAAGACAGCATCCCCCACCTTGGCGAGAGAGGCCTGAGACAGGGAGTGGGCATGCAAATATTCCTTCGCTCCCTCCCCTCCCCTGAGGGGCCTTCCACAAAGCCACCCCACCTGGAGCAGAAGGGGTAGGACTGAATCATAAAGCACCTGCCAGCTTGGATATTCTTGGATTCTAGAATTCTAGCCAAAGAAAATAAGCCGGAACCCAAAATACTCCCACCGACTCCACTCATCAAATTTGCAAACACAACTGCCCAGAACCTGGTGCCAGACCTCCCGTCTCTGCAAAGCCAGATCACACCGCATCCTTCCTGTGGCCGCAGTGTCTGGCCGGCAGCCCACCATCCCCGTGCTCTGAGGGCGACGCAGCGTCCTGGGAGCAACAAGCAGAACCTCGCGTTCCAGGCACCGATCAGTGTGCCTTAAAACGTCCCCCAGGCCACAACAGCCCACCCGAAGGGGATGCCAGTCAGGGAGAGAGAAGGCCCCAGGGCCACCTGCTCTGTCAGCGGAGCTGTCCCCCGAGAGACCACCCGACAGAGCCTCCAGCAGCTTCTCCTGCTGCGTTCCGGGCTGGGCGCTATTCGGAGTCGCGAACTATGCATGTAGCTCGTACCCGTGGCTGCCTCGCGAGAGGAGGAGCGAGTCTGCCTGAGGGAGTCGAAGTGCCGGAGCACCAAATACTTTTCAAGAAATAAAGTTGGCTGCTTCCAGACACAACCAGTGCGGCAGCTCCAGCCCCAAGCTGGCTCCCAGAGCACGAGCCAGGCGCCCGCAGGGGCGGCGACAAGCAATACAGTCCGGTAGGCAGGCAGGTCCCCGGGAGGCAGGCAGGTCCCCGGGAGGCAGGCAGGTCCCCGGGAGGCATGTGCACGCAAGTCCCACCCAGCCCACCCTCCACGGCTCAGACATCAGGCCGTCAACGTTTTGTGCATATTACTTGCCCAAGAGGATGTTTTTTGATAAAAAGTGCAAAGGAGAGCTGAAATCTAGCCCTCGAGACCGAGCGTGGCCCTTCCAGGGTTAGCGCCGGGCTGGGTCAGGCAGGTGGGTTTCCATGGGGCCCCTCACAACGGTTGTCCACGGGAGAACCTGTTTCCTCCTCTGTGAAGAAGGGAAGACAGTACAAGTCCCCAGAGGTTCAGCAAGCGAGCAGGGGAAAGCTGGGACCCTGGTCTGGCTCATCAGAGGATGCTGACGTCCCCAGCGGACAAGGGACTGCCCTTTGTCCCTGGGCGGGTGGACCTTGCTGCCTCCGCTGACCAAGGCCCTGTCGTTCTCTGCTCCTGGCCCTGTGAGCAGTAACACGTGAGGACACAGAGGACACGTCTTCTCAAGCAACCCTGTGGTGACCCCAGACATCATTTTGGAGACTGCTGGAAATCTGGGGGAACTTCCATAAATATCATGAGTCAGCGAGATCTAGGAGCCAAACCCAGAGGAGCAGATTTGTACAGATTGGAAGGAGCCTGGGCAACGTGTCACTCAGCTGTCAGATTCAGCTCCGATGCTGCGCTTCATCGGGGAGGCGGAGGCTCAGTCCCAAGCCGGGGCCTTCGCGCGGGCCGCTGCCTCGGCAAGGACCCACGTCCCCCATCTTCTCGGGTCCCGTGCCCGGTTCCATCTACCATCCGGGTCTCAGTTCAATGTCACCTCCACCGGAAGCCTTTCCTGGCCCCCCAACCTAAGCCCACACCACAGCTCCGCGGCCTGCTCTGTCTCCCAGGCCCCGACGGGAGCCGGAGTCGTGTTCGCTGAGGTCTTCCCGCTTCCTTCCCTTCTAGGGAGTCAGCAGTGTGGTTTCCATCCCGCGCTGCTGGAGTTCACACCAGCCCTCCCCCTGCCTACCCTGAGAGCTCAGGCAGGTGACGACTTCCGGTTCTTGTCTGAACCGGGTGGGAGTCTTGTCCCACGCTCAGAAGGATACGCAGGTGTGCGACACGCTCAGAAGGGTGCGCGGGCGTGTCCCACGCTCAGAAGGATGCCTGGGTGTGTCCCACGCTCAGAAGGGTGCGCGGGCGTGTCCCACGCTCACTGAGGCTGAGCTCCCGGTCCAGAGTGCAGGTCGGCGACGTGTGCACTGTCGAAAGCAATGCCCGCAGCCTCACAGGGCAGCTCCGGGGCTGGCTGAGGGCTCGCTCCGGCAGGGACCCCACGGGCGGACCCCATCCTGCCTCTCCAAGCTCCCCTTCGAGGCTTCCCTCCGGGGTCTTCCCTCCACTTGGCTGATGTCCCGAGGGCACAGCACCCTCGTCCCACCAGCCTGATCAGCCTCCACGTCAATCTGCCCCGGGAACTGGCCGAACTCCTGGCCTCTGCTCTGCCAACTACCTGTGCCCAGGACAGGAACTCGTAACAAACTGCGACTATCAGGATCAACACATAAGTGAGAAATGACCTTCACAGTAACAGATAAACTATGTCTTCCCGGTTCCAAATCAATAACCAAGACTTAAAAATCTACAATAGCCATCTGATCCAACAACTCCACTTCCAAGCATATACCCAAAATAATTAAGAGCAGGACTCAACTAGATACCTGTGCACCCATGACTCACCACAGCCAAAGGGTGCATGCAAGGCACGCACCCAGGGACGGTGATGGGTAAACCAAACGTGGTCCATCCACACGACGCACGCACCCAGGGACGGTGATGGGTAAACCGAGCGTGGCCCATCCACACGACGCACGCACCCAGGGACGGTGATGGGTAAACCAAACGTGTCCCATCCACACGACGCACGCACCCAGGGACGGTGATGGGTAAACCGAACGTGGCCCATCCACACGACGGAAGACTATGCAGCCCCAGAGGAAAGGAAGTTCTGCCACCCGCCACAATGTGGATGACCCTGAAGACGTCATGTTACGTGAAATGAGCCCGTCACAAAGATACACGTTATATGAGTCCGCTCATGAGATACTTAGAGCAGTTAACGTCCTAGACAGGAAGCAGAAGGCACTGCCAGGGGCCCAGGGAAAGGCATCAGGACTCGGGGTTTAACGGGGCAGCTTCACTGTCACAGACAAGAGGCCCTGGAGGTGGATGCTGGTGACGGGGACACAGCAGTGTGAATGTACAAACTGCACACTTAAAACTGGTTCAGATGGTAAACTGTATGTTCTGTGTACTTAACCACATAAATACATCAGAAAAGAAGGAAGGAAGGAAGGAAGGAAGGGAGGGAGGGAGGGAGGGAGGGAGGGAGGGGAGAAAGGAAGGAAGGAAGGAAGGAAGGAAGGAAGGAAGGAAGGAAGGAAAGAAAAGAAAAGAAAAGAAAAGAAAAGAAAAGAAAAGAAAAGAAAAGAAAAGAAAAGAAAAGAAAAGAAAGACCCTACCACAGAGGTAGTGGATAAGGTGTGCTATTGACCCAACACTGATCTGGGAAACGTCACATCAGGGTTCCTGTCATTGTCCTCTCTCCACTGCCACTCAAACAAGACTGGAGTGACTCTCCCCATTTCACAGATGAGGAAACTGAGGCTGGGAGGAAGTGGAGCAACTTGCTCTGCTTCAAAGAGCCAAGAAAAGGCACATCTACGGGCCTGGACACCAAACTCAGGTGGACACTTGTACACCCATTATTCACAACAGCAACGTCCCCAACAGCTCTCCCACTTTCTCCTCTCTTCCCAGGACAGGGCCAAGACTCCCAGCCTCTGGACATGGGTGGTGGGCCAGTCACTGGCATACGAGACCCAGGAGGAAGGGTGGAGTTGTTTTGGGGGGAGGGGACAGAACAGATGATGGAGATGCAGAGCTCATCTGGGCTGAAACGGGGCGTCCCTGGGAGAGGCGCAGGCAGAGGTTCGGGGGAGCACATCTACCTGCATCTGCTCCTCTCCTCTTCTCCGGGAAGCCTGCTAGACCCCCCGTGCTAGGCCCCCAGCCCCAGGGCCCAGCACAGCCTGGGCCCACACCGACTCGGGTAACTAACGAGTCCAGGATGTGCAGTTCCTGCGTCTCTGATCCACCCCTCCGCCGAAGAGGCCAGCCCACTCTCCCCAAAGTTTTTTCTTGCACAAGGCTCAAGACACGCCCGTGGCCCATCCCCGAGGCCGACCCTGAGCAGGACAGAGCAGTGAGCCACAGGGAAGACTGGTTCTACTTTTCCAAGCGGAGCCCAGAACCCGAGCCTTTGCTTCTGTTCCCCCGTCGCAGGGTCGCAAGCCCACCCAATGTCTCTCTGTTTCCCCTGCGCACACCCCTCAGCTCTGCCCAGATCGACAGTGTTGAGGGAGGCTGTGTCTCCCTCCTGATTCCACAGGGAGTGACAGGCTTCCTTGGCCAGATCTCCAACCAGCTTCCATCCAGGGAAAATAAGCCAAGTGGGGGAAACGAGCTTCCTTCTCTCCCCTCGCCCCGAGTCTGAACAAGGATCTACTTCAAACCCACGGAAGGAAGAGGGAGAGAGAACACAGGGCAGGGGAGGGGGAGGGAGTCCACGTCTCTACTTGCCTGAACATCAAACTCTTGCAGGAGGCCAGTGATCGTCTGTGGAGAGACAAGAGGGAGGGTCAGTTTCCTCAAGCCTCCTTGAGCAGAGAAAGAACTAAGGTGACACTTCTCCGAGCCCCGGGTCTGTGTCTGCCCTCCCTCCTCTGTCCCTCCCTCCTCGGTGGAGCTGCCCTGATGCCTCACAAAAACACTTCTCTTTACGTCCCAAAGAACAGTCCAGCAGAAAAGCAGACGCGTTAGCCGGATTCCTTTTTGACGATAGCCTTGGTGAAAAAGATCTGAAGGTCTAAGTTGATCACAAGCTTATGAGATGCAAGACTGGAATTGCCTAATAACTGGTCTCCCAATCTCCACCCACGCGCCACACTGTTCACTCTCTAGCCCGACCAAGCCACTGTCCTCGAATTTCTTCCCTAGCTGCCCATCGTCTGGATTAAAATTCAGTCTCTCACGGTGGACACGGGGAGCAGAGACCTCTAAGCGTTCCTCTCCATGCTACAATTCTGAGTTTCCGGCCCCCATTCCATCTTTCACCAGTCATCTGGATTTGGAGCATGCACAGTGAAGTTACGGGTGGGCAGACTATGGCCCGCCCCCTGTTTCTGTAACTAAAGTGTTACTGAACACAGCAAGCCCGTTCACTTCCAGATTGCTACGGCTGCTTTCGTGCCGTAACGGAGTCGTTGCCCCAGACGGCGTGGCCCGCCGAGCCTCCGAGAGGTTCCAGCTGGCCCTTTGCAGAAGACATTTGCAGACCCAGGGCGCGGGGTCCTCACAGCTTCCCCGGCCTTCTCAACCCCGCGCGCCCCTATCCGGGCCAGTTCCCGTCTGTCAGGGGTCAGTGTCCATGTCTGTGAGACACAGAAGGAAGAGTCCAGGACGCAGTGGACCCGAAACAGAGCAGCCGCACCCAGGGTCACAGGGGATGGAACGGACAGTCCACTCACCACAGCAGCCGGCCTGGCTTTGGCTCCAGGCCCCACGCGTGGTGACTCTGTGACTGAGGACACGTTACCCTCCAGGAGACTCGGCTTCCTCTCCGGTCAAAGGGGAACAGTCACAGAACCTGGCGTCTAACCACCTACAGCCTGTCCCTGTCGGTGAGCACGAGAGCCACGGAACACGGCCGCCCGGGGACAGGCTGCAGGCCCGGGTTCCCTCACGCTGGCTGTAGTTCTGAACGCGCTCAGCTGACCGGGGACAACTTCACTTCTGAGCCCGCGCTTCGGGGTTTTGACAAGGTGCGTCGGCACAGGCAGTGTTGCGGCTCAGCGAGAACTGGGATTGAACACGGTTTAAAAATACGACGTCGCCGTTACAACAAACAGAAATGCTTGCTGCGACCATGGCAGAACAGCCGGTCCGGTATGGAGCAGGCCAGGCTGGGGCAGGGGCGGCTCTTCCCAACGGGAAGGGCGTGGACAGGAAAGGCCTGACCACAGAGAGAGGACCTGGAGCATCGGAGCTCGCCTGCATCGGATCTCCTCGTGCCAGTGAGTCCAACTGTTCGGAGTCAGCGGCCACCCCACCCTCCCTCTGGCCATGGCGGAAGCCCTAGCGTCACTGTTTGGAGGTCGGGGAGCCGCAGCATGCGGAGGTTGAAGGGTTTGCAGCCCTAGAGTCACTGTTTGGAGGTCGGGGAGCCGCAGCATGCGGAGGTTGAAGGGTTTGCAGCCCTAGCGTCACTGTTTGGAGGTCGGGGAGCCGCACATGCGGAGGTTGAAGGGTTTGCAGCCCTAGCGCCACTGTTTGGAGGTCGGGGAGCCGCAGCATGCGGAGGTTGAAGAGTTTGCAGCCCTAGAGTCACTGTTTGGAGGTCGGGGAGCCGCACATGCGGAAGTTGAAGGGTTTGCCAGTGGTGGACACAAAGCTGCCGAGGGTCACAGCCAGGATCTGAGCCCGGCAGGCTGGCCCCAGAATGTGGACGGCCTGGACCCCTCGACAAGGGGCAGACGGAGCCTGTGGACAGTGGGCCTCCTGCCGCGGGTTCTAGAACCACAGGATGCGAGAGGGGGGGCGCTTAGCAGAACTCTGGTTCACTGCCCTCACTTCACACACGGGATCCGCGAGGTGTGGGCAGAGATGCCAGAGAGTGGGCAGGGGCCCGGCCATGGCCCTTAGGGGCCAAGCTGGGACCTGAACAGGGGCCTGTTGTCTCTACACCTTCCTGGTCAAGGAGACCGTGGAGACAAGGGAGTAGCAGACGTGTGTGTGCACACGTGTGTGTGTGTGCAAGGGTGTGTGTGTGTGCACATATCTGTGTGTGTGTCTGTGTGTGTGCATATGTGTCTGTGTGTGTCTGTGTGTCTGTGTGTGTGTGTGCGTGTGTATGTGTCTGTGTATCTGTCTGTGTCTGTGTGTCTATGTGTGTGTGTGTGTCTGTGTGTATGTTTGTCTGTGTGTGTATGCATGTGTCTGTGTGTCTGCGTGTCTGTATGTGTGTCAGTATGTCTGTGTCTCTTGTGTGTGTCTGTGTATCTCTGTGTGTGGGCGTCTGTTTGTCTGTGTGTGTATGTATGTGTCTGTGTGTGTGTCTGTGTATGTATGTGTGTGTCTGTGTGTGTGTGTCTGTATGTGTGTCTGTGTCTCTTGTGTGTGTCTGTGTATCTCTGTGTGTGTGTCTGTTTGTCTGTGTGTATGTACGTGTCTGTGTGTATGTGTGTGTATGTGTGTATGTATGTGTCTGTGTGTATGTATGTCTATGTGTCTGTGTGTGTCTGTGTGTGTCTATGTACGTGTCTGTGTGTCTGTGTATGTATGTGTGTCTGTGTGTGCGTGTACACACGTGTGCCCATGCATGACTGTGGGTGTGACGGGAGGAGCATCTCCACTCACCTCCCCTTTCTCCACCAAAGGCTTCACCTCAGCAAGGTCCACGTCTTGCAGCTCTCGAGACATGTCCCCACCGTCACCTGCCTGGGGGGGACAAAGGCCAGGGGTTAGACTTCAGGCTGGGAGACGTTTCCTGGAGAAGCAAACCCGAGTCTAGAACCCGTCCTCCTGCCCAGCCCTTACCCTGCACACACAGCACAGGTCCCCAGGCCCTCCTGCCCGCGGCGCATCCCAGCCTCGTCCCAGAGGGAAACCGAGGCTCGTGGACACAACCACTTTTCCAGTGAAACCGATGACCACCTCCAAAGCCAGGTCTGCACCTCCAGTCCAGGCCCAGCCAGCACCCCTGGCACTTCTCACCGCGGCTCAGGAGGAGTCTCACTCGCAGATCCCGAAGTCGACAACCCAAAGGGGACAGAAGATCACAGGAGCCCCCCAGGTGCAGGCACACACACGCTTTATCCTCTCTCACCCCCAACAGCTGTGGCCAGAGGGACGTGGCACACCCACCTCCGCGGGGCTTCCCACGTGCAGTGGGGGGGGCAGGGCTCCGCCCAGGCCTGCCAACTACACACAGGATTCTCAAAGAAAAGGCGCCTAAGCAGCTGGGGGTGGGGCCAGGGGGGTCCTCGTTGGCTCTGACCCGGGGGAGCAGAAGGCCAGCAGGTGAGGCTGCAGAGCTCCGGGGAGCAGAGCCCCAGATGGGGGGACCCTGCCGTGAGCCACTCCCCCAGCAGCAAGGCTGGGGCGGGGACATGCACTGAGCACACTTCTGGGAGCTTACTCTGGGAGCTGGAGACGTAAACATTTATTCTTCCAGATGGGGCGTCAAACCAGAAGCATGAAGTGCCCACCAGTGTTGGGAGAGGCCCCCACAGCCCGGGAGAGCCAAGTGCCACCGCAGGCCGCCAGCGGCCAGGGACCACGGGTCACACACCCAGACCTGAATCCTGAATCCGGACGCCTGCGGAAAACCCGCCCGACCCAGACCCGCACACCGCCTGCCTCAGAGGGGAGCCCCGGCCCCGAGGCACCCGGGACCCCACAGGTGCACGGCCAGGAGCCCAGCCTGACACTCAGCACAGTGCACGGTCCAGACACCGGCTCCCGGAGCCCACGGGAGTCCTCCCTGCGAGACCCTCAGAGGTCAGAGGCAGCAGAGCCCGGCCACCTCCCACCCACCGGGTGCTGACACAGGGCATTCCGGGGGCAGATGCCCTGGGACGCTCTGGGCTAGGCCCAGTATGATTTTCCCCAGGAGATAACCAGCCCCACAAGAATGCCTTTATGCAATCTAGGTTCCAGAACATTCTGAAAACAAAGTCGGTTTTATATTGGTGAGCATTCCTGGGCAGCGGCCAGCTCGGAGGCCGGAGGCATGAACGGCTGAGGTCGGTCGGCCTCGCTGATTCAGCATGTTCGTGGTCCCGAGACCCTGGCCCGACGGCCACCTCGCCCACACCGCCTAGCGAGCCTTCCGGAAGCCCGGGCAGTGCCACCTCCTGCTGGAGTGAAAGGACCCTGAGTGACAGTGGCGTCTCCCACTGTCCCCCGGGGGCTGAAGCAGGCCTTCGGCCCACCTGTGGCTCCCAGGACAGGTAGCCTGAGGCTCGCGGAACTACCTGCCGCTCCTCGTTCTGCACAGATGCAGGGTCGGGCCCCACCTCGCTCGCTGAACAGATGCCCGGGTTTTATGCAGCGGAACAGCGAGGCTTGTATTTCAATCCACTCTTGAATGATCACAGCCCACAGGGGAAACGCATCGTAAGGACCCGAGCCCAGGCTGCAGTTCTGCCCGCGTGGTCAGTTCCCCTTGACTCCCTGACGCGGTGATCACACTGGACGGGCAGCCCCACTGCTGCCCCCAGGTCCCTCAGAACAGAACGTACCCCAGGTGTCAGGCTGGGCTCCTGGCCGTGCACCTCTCCAGTCCAAACCTTCTCTTCCTTCCTGCAGCCCAGCTCCCTGGCCACCTGAGGCGGAGGCTGCAAACTGCCTTCTCCCCTCGGTATTTGAGAATCTCTGAATTTTGGAGCGAGGGGCCAGCTGGGCTGTCCTGGTGCTCAGGGTCACGAGGACTCTCAGAGGCGAGGCGGCACTGAGAACTGTTACAGTGTTTATAAAAATGAGGGCCAACTCTGTCCCCCAGGGGACACGTGTCATGTCTGGAGACGTATTTTATTGTCATAGCTGAGAGATGCTACTGGTGTCTAGTGGGCGGAGACCAAGGATGCTCATAATCAGCTAATCATCCTACAGTGCACAGCACAGTCCCCAGAGCAGAGTCATCTGCCCCAACATCCACAGTGCGAGGCTGAGACCCTGGGGACACCAGGAAGCGCCCGGGGCTCTGAACTCTGCAGGGAGACTGAATACAGCCCAGAAGGGGGCTGCATGCCTGGGACAGCCTGTAGCCAGCGCAGATGCCCTGCAGGAGAGCTGGACCAGCACCCCCAGCTGGGCCACTGCCCTCAGTGACCACGGCTGCCCACACTGGGCCGCAGAGCGCGCTCGCTGCCCCTCGGCCCACCCTCCAGGCCCCCCACCGCTGGTGGCCACCCTGCTGAGGGCAGGAAGACAGCTAGGCTGCCCCCTCCTGCCCACCTGGGCCAGCTGGAGGCCAACCACTCCCCTGTTGACTTGACCAAAGGACTCAGCAATGTTGTATTTCTGAAGCTGTTTGTCTAAAGGAAATATTATAGGAAAGTTAAGATACAGAAAAACAGATTTACCACCACCCCTAAAAAATAAAGGGGGAAAAACACTGACATACTTTAGATAAAGCCAGCCCCTGGGGTCCCCCCTTCCTACCATCTGCCCCCTACCCCATGAGTAAGACCCGTCCTCAAGACCACCTGGCCCAGGGAGCAGGGTCTGAAACTGACTTATTCCGAGGTGGCTTCCTGCACCAGGGCCTCATTGCCCAGCACTGAGCGAAGTGACAATGACAGCTTTCCTGATGGGCCCACCACGTGACACGCTGGGCACGTGGCCATGGACTAGCGGACCCAGTCCTGCCCCGCGGAGCTCACAGTCTCATGGGGCAGACAGCACCCCTGGGGTCCCCCAGCAGCCGCTCACTCATCCGGCCAGTGCTAACGGTCCTGTCCCCACAGGGCCATGCTGTCCTGGCGGACGAGGCCTGTATGACCACCGTATCTCCAGGGCACAGGTCCCCACCGGAATGACTCCCTGGGCTGGGTCATTCTTTGGGGTGAAGGCTGGTGTCCCTCGGAGGGGGGTTAGCAGCCCCTCCGGTCTCAGCCCACTAGATGCCAATAGCACCCACCCACCCTCCCAACCCCCGTTGTGAAAACCAAAAACGTTTGTGGACTTTGCCAACTGTCCTCTGGGGGCAAAATCGCCCCTGGTTAGAAATTACTGAGGGCAGTTCCTGTGTGAATCCAGAGGCTCTGTTAGATACGATTCTTATTTAATCCAGTGCGTGTGCACACACTCACACACACTCACTCACACTCACACACACTCACTCACACACTCACTCACTCTCACACATACTCTCATACACACTCACTCACACACTCTCACACACACACTCACTCACACACACTCACTCACTCTAACACATACTCTCATATACACTCACTCACACTCACTCACACACACTCTCACACTCACTCACACTCACACACACTCACACACACTCACTCACACACACTCACACACACCACCCCAGCTGCAGGCTGACCGAGGGGGCGGCCGCAGCCCCAGCGGATTGGGTGACTGTCCTGAGATGGCACAGTCAGCACAGACGGGGAGACCCAGAGGCCCCTGACACTCACGCTCTTGGTCACCCCACTCTCCCCCAAATGTTTCCTCCGTGGGGCTCACTCAAGTAGACGCGGCCTTCGGGGAAACCAGAGGTTTCCCTCACCAGGGGGGACGGACCACAGGGAGGTGACCTAGTTTGGGGGTGCTCTGGCTGCGGCACCCCTTGGAGCCCACACTCTGGGGTCACCCCCAAGCCAACCCGAGACCCTGCTCGGCTCAGCAAGGCCTTGCCCTGGGCTGGACGCCAGTGCCTGCCCCTCTCCATGGTCTCCTGGAAAGTCCCAGCAGAATGGGGGACAGAAACGGGCAAGGCCATCGTCTGGCAGATGGGGTGATGAGGCAAAGCCACGTGGGCGCCGTGGATGGGAGCCCAGATGTGCACACCCAGGCCTCCCGCTGCGCGGTGCAAGGCGGTGGGTGGTGAGGGGCCTCCGACCCTGTCTCTGAGCAGCGCAGAAAGAAACCCCTCCAGACAGGGCTCCGCCCACGATAAGCCACGCAGAGCTAAGGACCGGGCGCCACATCCCCCCGCCAGCCGCCAGACTGGGTCCGATCACCACTTCTTCCTTTCCTACCGCCTCCCAGAAGGAATTCAGACAAAGCCAAGGTCGGGCAAGTGGAAGGCAGCCAGGAGCGAGGGGGAAGCCTGGAGGGTCAGACGAGGCTGTCATCATTTATTAGCTCTGTGATCCCCAGCAGGTCATCTGACCCCTTAGCCTCAGTTTGCTCATCTGTAAAATGGGCATAATAACCCTGCTCCCAGTGAGGACCACTGAGGCCTCGATTAAACACTGGCCCACAGAATCTGACTAATAGCTGCTTAATTAATCGGTGTGATTTCCTTTCCTTTCAGAGACCAGGGACATCTAGGAGGACACAGGCTGTGTTTTACACACTGTGGGCTAGCGGGAGCAGCGGGGGGCGGAGGGTGGACACAGAAGGCGTTCAGCAGATGCCGCATGACTTTCCAACAATCAGACCCAATGTACCACCACGCGGCTCTCTTCCCCATTAGCAACACTGGTCAATGAGTAATGAAGGCCCAAGGGGGCCGGGCAAATACCTTCCCGGTTCAACAAACCCAGGAGATAGTCAGCAATTAGCTGGACCCCATGGGTTCCAGGGGGAGCCAAGCCTGGGATTTGACCGTGAGGATGGGGAGGGCAGTGGGCTGCGGCATCTCGGACGATCTGAGGCCACGTGAGAATTGTTACCCAGTCCCCGGGGACGGAGGGGACACGGTCTGGGTTCTCAAGGGAACACTGGCCCAGGAGTCAGGGTGGGGGGACCCT